TATTGGTATGAAAAGTCAAGTGCAATGCTTGTGCACTCTTACCTTTCCTATTTGTTGACTACGATTAGGTTAATCTAAAATAGATTTATTAGCCAGTTGCATTGTATATGAGCTGTGATATTGATATCAATGCTTGCACTGATACCAACCATGTTAAATGCAATATATCGGTGATAGCAGCAATAGGGTGACCTGACCAGTTAATGGTAATGTCAAAATACAGCGGCGTAGTTTCGAATTTGTTAAATTATGTTGCATCTGATATACGTTCTGCAAATTTCTGAACGTATATGAAAAGAACACTCAATAATAATTTAGTATATCCCTAATGTAGTTAATTAATCGTTATCATTGTTTGATTTTGTTAAAATCAGCTCACGGTCATGTGATTAAAAATTTATTTTTATTATTTTAATTTTAAAAATTAGAAAAATTAGTACATATCACAACTTGCACAAGATTTGTATTCTCAGCTATTTGTACGGTAAAGTGTTGCAAACAACAAAAAATAACATGAGAGCTGACAGTTCAGGGTTATCAAAAATAGAGTGTTAAAAATATTGAAGACATAATAGCTTGTTTTCCAAACAGTAAATTATATTTTCATCTTAATAATTTTATTAATAGTCAAAATTGACACATTTTAAATCCAGTCTTTCTGAATTAGTGATTATTGATGTATGCACATTAAGTTTTATGATATCTCTGGCATATTATCATTTTTTTCAAAAGTATAACTAGTCTGATATTAACAGTTTTTTTGTGCTTAAATTACAAGATATTGATATAGAGAATATGTGTTTTAAACATTAGGGAGGGGTGCTGCATACTATAAATCTCGAGAATCAATTTAATTATATATAAGTCATTAATTGAAGAAAAGTATTATTTTAATTAAAGAAAAATACATCTTTTTAGGTGCATACACTTTTATTTTAAATAATAAAATCGTATTTAAATATGCGCATATATTCAGTTAAAATATCCGGAAATGTTCATTTAAAAAGCCTGGGATTAACCGTAAGTGTTAAAGACAAGCCTTTAAATGGATTGTAGAAATATTTTTTGTCACTGCATTGGCAACACTGTTCTTTTTACCCACAAGGAGTTTTAACATCACTTATTTAGTTTGTTAACAGTGCGCGATTTCGTCAGCCCATCTTAAGTATATTTTGCGATTTTTACTATGGCTAAAAATATCGAACAAGGAGTCTGTATTAAATTTTGCATTGCAATTAGAATTTCTTGCGCCGAAGTACTAAAAATACCAGTTATACCAGTATATAACTGGTATAACTAAGAATACCAGTTACATACCTGTCCTTAAAATTGTTGTAAGAATAGACGAATAGACTAGTTATCCAAATATTTATTTAGATACTTCATTATTCGTAAATACTTTTTTGAGACTGCAAGTACCAGAGATTGAACTCATGCCCTGCCAAATTTAAAACTTAGGGTCAGCGTTCATTAGCCAACTAACGCAAAGCCGTACTTGAATTGTATGTTCGCTTTTTTTTCTGAAGTTTTATTAATTTGTTGTAAAATATGCTAATAAATTAATTATATTTAAAAATAAATTTTAATACATTATTTATTTCGATTTTACCCGCCACTGTGTGTTTATCGTAAATTTTACATGTAAATTCAATGAAAAATTTTCGATTGTTCTAATTTATTTATTTTTCGGCACATATTTCATCTAAGGTAGTTGTGCTTGCCGCCCTAGTAAAAACGGTTTGGGAAAGGCCACAATTGGATTGTGGTGCTATTTATTTA